GTACCTAAAGCGTACTGAGCATTTTAGTTAAGTTAGTTTGTACCTACGCGTACAGAATTTCTTAGTTAGAGTATGTTCGTACCTAAGCGTACTGAGCATTTTAGTTAAGTTAGTTTGTACCTAGGCGTACAGAATTTCTTAGTTAGAGTATGTTCGTACCTAAGCGTACTGAGCATTTTAGTTAAGTTAGTTTGTACCTACGCGTACAGAATTTCTTAGTTAGAGTATGTTCGTACCTAAGCGTACTGAGCATTTTAGTTAAGTTAGTTTGTACCTGAGCGTACAGAATTTCTTAGTTACAGTAGGTTCGTACCTAAAGCGTACTGAACATGATGAGGAGTAGAGGGTTCGTGACTGGGTGTGCCGAGTAGAGGAGTATTTTCAGGCATCGATCACCAAGTGGAGAATGCAGGAGACGATACAGATACTACATCTACATTCTACATCAGTCAAATTAACATCAGAGACAGGAGCAGAGACAGCAGGAGGGACAATTTGGAAAGGACAGTTAGGACAATTTAGGAGAGACTAGAGGGTAGCAAGTGTGTATATATATTTGAAATTTTATGTTTGTATGACGTGATGTCGTGATAGTTATCACGGGATAATTTTAATATTTGTTGTTACGAGCATTTATTATATGTGCGTAATTGTTTATTTTGTAGTTGACAGTTTTTTACACGTGCAGTGTATTACGTGAAATTTTTAATTGTGTATGGAGTTGGACACGTGAGGTTAGCACGTGGGGTTTTAGGGTCAGTGTTAGTCACGTGAGGGTTTATACGTGCATTTTCTTTAGATTTTTTAGTGGTGTAGGTTTTAGTATTTTAGGATTTTAGTAGGTAGGGGGGGATTTAGTCGAATTTGTCAATACCTCCTGGAGATATTGACTAAATCGATTAAATTTTCCCGGGGGATATAGTGTAATATGGTAAGCTAGTTGCAGCAGTATTTATATATATATTAGGCTTTTTAGATCTTTTAGAATATTCTAGTATAAGTGTTGAATAACCGTTAGGATTAGTATAAGATTAGATTAGATTAGTGGAATAGATTATGGATGGTTTTGCGGAGGAAGGCACGTGTTAGTCAGGTTAGCTAGTTAAGTTAGGTTATTGGACAGACTGGGCCGCGCGGTGTCACGTGGTTCGCCATGTGATGTCACGTGACCCAGTGCTGATAGGTTTTGCTTGCCCCGTTAGCGGCAGTTCTTCGGTAAGCATTTAACGGTAAGGTTGTAAAAGTTACCGCTTCCGAGGACAGTGTAGCGTGGCCTTCGAGTCGCTAGTCTTGGTTTATTGATCTAATAGTAATTTATTACCTTTCGAGACTTATTGTTCGAACCCCCTGTTTCCTTTGTTCCTACCTAACTTAGGACTCGATCAAGTCATTCGATCTTTTAAAGTTATACGGCACTCAGTAGCCTGTAAGAGTTAGAGTGAATTTGCAGAGCTTGAGAGCTAGAGATTTGCAGGTATTCGTGTACGAGACTTCGATATCGTACTCGTATATTTCTTCAAGTACCGCGTACGATACTTCAAGATCGTACCCGTGTATTTCTTAAGTACCGTGTACGACACTTCTCTATCGTACCCTAGTACATTTTAATTACCCGTGTACGTCACTTCGCTACCGTACCTTTGTGAGCAGGCAAAGTAGACCATTGGTACGCCCGGGAGGACTGTTCTGGTGCCTACCTTGTTTTACACTAACGGTAATTCAAATGGATATAATTTTATTGTTTTTAGGGAAAATGAGACACTCACATATCATCTTCAGCAAATGGGTTTTTGTGCAGGGATCAGATATCCTGGTTTGTCTTTTACTATATCGCGAGATGGGTGGTATGGTATTGGTAGAAGGTATCGTAGCTGACATAAGCCACCGAAGGTCGCCTATACCAAGTGGGGAGCTAGAGATAAAGCTTAAGCTGTACTTTAGGCATTCAAGTATCTCTCTAGTAGAGCAGTTGGGATCGTTCATTGCCCGGTACGACTACGAGTTGGACAGATAACCAGTTGTTAGAGCTTTAGAGAAAATGTGGAGGTAGAAGAAGCCGAAGATCAACTTTAAGATAGTGATCATGCAATAATGTGATATTTACAATTCAGATTGTTGAAATTTTATAATACCTTGTTTTTATTGATTCAACGATATAGTTTCAATAATTGCTCCTTTAAATTCCATTAAATAAAGTTTATATCTTCATAAGTATTCTCTTCCTCATCGTTGTCTTCACCATCAGTTCCACACCCGATACACATTTCTCTGACAGCATTATCGCCGTCACCCAAACCTTCTCCCATCTGCGTTTCAGTAAGTTTTACTGGGAATGGTGGTTCACTATGGGCGGAAATGTCCTCCTCCTGCTCCTCTGTCTCTGTAACGTTTATCATCCTCACTTTAACGGTGCTTTGTCCTTTTCCGAAGAGTTTTAAGGGGTTAGAGCCTCTGTAAAGTGTAACATAGCACAAAATCAGTAAAATAGTGAAGATTACCACAAGGACTAATAGAACTAATATTACTCTGTCCGTAGTTTTAACTTTTTCTAGCCTTGCTACCTCTTCCGACTCATCACTTATTTTGTAACAGAAACCTTTCTCCACTTGAAATCCCCTGGGACACTCATTACAGTGAACTCCGTCACCAAAAAGGTGATCAGGACATTGTAAGCAAGAATGATTTACCCAATACTGTCCTAAAGTGCATCTGTAACAATATCCAGAGCCTTGTTTGGAAGCTTTGAAATGTGGACATTTAGTGCAGTTCAGGGATCCAAAACTGCTTTAATGGTTTTCTGGACAAATCTGGCATTTTTTTGTGTTGGTTGAACCATAAACCATTTCTAAGCCAGCTTCACAATCACATAGTTTGGCGCTCATATCTGACGATGAGTGAACTGGGCAACTGGTACATTTTGTGCTGTTGGTGATATCCGTGTAGCTGTTTTCAGAGCAGGGTGTGCAGTTGTTCAATGTGAAGTTCCAGAAGAAACCTGGTCGACACGAACAAAATGCCTGATAGGTAGATGATGTAGAATTGTTTGGACAAGCAGTACAATTTGTGTCACCAGAGTAGCTGTAAAAGTTATCAGGACATATCTTACAGTAACCTTCGTCCATGTACAGACCTCCAGAGCAATTACAGTGGTCATATCCTGGAGCACTGTGTGATCCAAGTACACATGTCTCGCAGGTTAAGGAACCCCAAGAACTGTAAGTGTCCGCCTCACAATTGTTACAGGTCCCATCTTCCAAGTTAAAATGCTGGCCGGCAGGACATTTGCAAAATGATAAGTCTGCATTAAAGTAGCTATTAGATGGACACTTCAAACAAAATGTGCTGCCTGCTGTACTGTAATAGTTTATTGGACAGCTTTTGCAGACACCCAGGTCCATGAATAGACCAGCTGCACAGTCACAGACTTCAGACCCAGATGCAGATGTTGAGTGTCCTTGGCAGGGGGTACAGGATGTTGATCCTGCGGAGCTGAAAGTGTTTTGTGGACAATTTGTACAATTTCCATTCAACCAGTATTTACCTGCTTTGCAAGCGCACAAAGCTGATCCTGAATGGGACGTTGACCCAACATGACATGGTGTACACTGTATAGAACCTTCAGCGCTGTAGGTGTTGGCAGGACAGACTGGACAATGTCTGTTAGACCAGTATCTTCCTGCTTTACATCTACACTCCTCTGATCCGGTGCTAGATGTCGAGTCTGTAGGACATTGAGTGCAGGATGTGTAGCCTTGTTCGCTGTAGGTGTTGACTGGGCAGGCAGGACAGTTACCGTTTGACCAGTATTGACCTGCTCTACAATTGCAGGTTGTTGAGCCTTCTGGAGAAGTAGCACCTGTTGGACAAGAAACACAGAGGTTTCTAGAAACGAAGGAGTTGGCTTTACAGCCAGAGCAAGATATCCTGGCGTAGTAATGTGTGTCGAGGTAACAACTGGACGAGGTCGAGTAGGTGCAGGATTGTGGGCTAGTGCATTGGAGATGATATGGTTTGGTGGTAGAAACGTAGCTATCTGCAAAAGTGTAGCTGCTTCCAATAACGAATATTGAAACAAGGTTTTTGTAGTTCATACTCTCACAGATATACTGGGCAGATGCATCGGAGGGGTAGTAAGAGCTGAAGGAGTACCGTATGTAACAAACGGGAGTCTTCTGTGCACCTGATCTACTCGCCATGAGAACTCCAGTATTAGATTGCCTAGTCCTAGAACTCCAAATAGAGAATCTGATATCTTCTGGTACCCTCTCAGCTCCACCTCCTGAAATATAGCATCTTAATTATTATCCTTATTTCTTATTATTATGAATAACTCGAAACACTTTTGCTTTAAATAACGGAACTGAGTGCTAGAAAAGGTCGCTATACAGAAATGCAAATGATTGGTTTTAATAATCTCACCTAGAAATACTGCCATTTCTGCCAAAATACAAATTATCCAAAGCATGTTAAATTGTCATAAATTACTCAACTCACAAATGTATGTTCTCGAGACCCACCATCGACTAAGTCCTAGAGCACCTATTTTTCACGAGATTATCGCGAGTTTTCTTTGACTGTCCACGTTATTATCCTCTTTGCTTTTTGTTCTAAATTTCTGGACACGTCGGTGATCTGGACTCATGAGCTTGTTCCCATGTCTTGTTAAGACTGAAAAGATAGAGAAAAACACTGCCATTATCATCATGCTAAAACTTTAACTATAATTTTGTCTCTGTCCTAAATTCTTGCAGAACAGTGTTTAGTCAATGTAATCAATCGCGGGATTTTGTATATTTCATACAGGGTGATTCAAAAAATTGAGGCCCAATTCAGGTCCGCTATCAAATTTAAAGTACCTATAACTATATAATAAACTATATAATAAACTATTTATAATATAACAAATAACTATATAATAAACTTAATACACAACAACCCGCTAACCTCAACATTTTCAGGAGACAGTTGGTATCCTGGTGGTGGACAATGTTCTAGAAGCTATGCGTATAGGCATGGAGATAAACCAGCCTCAGAGGATCTCTGAAGCTAAGCTCCTGGGAGAACTGTATAACTATAGGATGATTGAGAGTAATAGTATTTTCAATTCTCTTTATCTTGTTATCTCCTTCGGAGCTCTTCCTGATGGTGGGTGTAAAAAAAATGTTTTTTTGAAGTTTGCTTGCGGTAAAAATCTCAAATTTATCTAATAATCTATTTAGTTAGATTTTTACCTAACTAAATAGATTATTAGATAAATTTGAGATTTTAAAGCTTTTCATACAAGTTACAACAACGTCTTCATGTTATGTATCTTGGGTTTGGACAGGATATTACCCGCTTAAAATATTTCCATCGCGTTACATAATACTCAATAAATGTATTAGATTTGTAGTGTTGTAATTAGGTTAAAAATATTATTTTCTTATTAATATACCCATCGTTTAATTTTATAATTTAATTTAATTTTTTAAAGAATACCTGATCCTCTGAAACAATCCAGGAACGAACCCGATTGACCAGCCTGCTGACATGATAAGAAATAGAATAGTTATCACTATACTGGAGACTTGTGGGCAATATTTCGAGAAGGGGTCTCTTAAGAAGAAGTGTGATATCTTCTTACTTTTCTTCCAGGTGGAGCAGTCTTCTCAATTTATTATAATGTACCTCACACTTGTCGTTTCTTTATAAAGGAAAAAATATTTGCCTCAGGAGTAATATTAAATTTATAATATTACTCCTGAGGCATATATTTTCACTTTCAGTGTCACCATTTTTCAAGGCCTAATATTGGTAGATTTGCCGCTAGTAAAGCTTGTTATTCGCTCTGTATTAAAGTATTAACATTATACCCTCGCCAGAAATACCTGTTTACGAAAGTACAGCCGCTCCCAATAGACGTGGAGTACAGCATACAGGATACTCTGGAAAGTATCCTACTTAACATTACCATGTACCCTTCTGTGGCTGAGGTGGATCTAGCTATTGCTGAGATATCTCCGCAACTGAAGAACCTTCTAGGTACCTGGTGAAGTGGTGATCCTTGTTTAGTTATATTGTTCTTTCTTTTACATAAGCCGCTATCAAAGTGTAGATAAATCCACCGTATCTGGGTTTTGGGACAAGATTGAGGTATACTTATTTATTCATATTTTGATTAAATATTTGACCAAAACCCATAATCATGGGTAGAGTGGACCGCTGCCAGTGTCTCTCTTTCCCAAACAAAAGGAAATGATATTAATTTGATTGACCGTTCTCAAATGCAAAATGATACCGAAAATGAAATCGGTCGCTCGCTTTTCCCATTCATTCACGGCTTACGAATTGTAATAAGTTTCGATTGATTAGGTACATCAATCAGATGCTGTAAAAATCTCTTTGGGTTGCGTTCGGGTCGATACCTAGTATTTCGGGGTAAGGGTGGTAGTTATTACTTATTGAATTAGCTGAAGTTTATTGAATCTTTATTGCCGAGTACAGCTGCCTTTGGGTAGTTCTTCTTAATCTATTACAATTGTAAATGAATGGGAAAAGCGAGCGACCGATTTCATTTTCGGTATCATTTTGCATTTGAGAACGGTCAATCAAATTAATATCATTTCCTTTTGTTTGGGAAAGAGAGACACTGGCAGCGGTCCACTCTACCCATGATTATGGGTTTTGGTCAAATATCATCTCTTTTTGATTATAAATATAATGTCAGGGTACTTTATTTATAAAGTCGAAATATAAACTGATATCTTCATTAATAAGGAGGAAGTTTCAACAATTTCGAAATTTTTCCTTTAAAAACATTTCCTTGTGTTTAGGTAAGCATATCGGTCGATCACTGACTGAATATGCCACTTAATACTCATTCAAGTTGGCATTAAATTCATTTAAAATGACATTAAACTGTCGTGGCAAAGCAGAATTTGTTGGAAATCACGAATGAGCAAAATTCTCACCTTTCGCACGTGCAAACTTTGAGCGGACGTTGCGTGCGCATCCAATATTGAATCGCCGTAACTTTCTGCATGTAATTGTTTTATATATAGCTTGATAAGCATGCAAAGTTTCAAAGTATTTCAAGAAGAACTGTAATCACAACGGCACTCTAAAGTTGACAGAAAATGACGAAAACAGCAATTTTCAGTGATTTTAGCAATTTTCTATCAATTTGGGCGTGTCCCCACGTGTGCAACTTTTCGATTTTTAACTTTAAAACTAGCCTAATGCACAATTTATACCTATAGGAAGCAGAACTGAGCTCCACAACCCAAGGCATGGCCCAACACCAGAGAATACTAAATCGCAAAATTGACGTTTTTATAAAATAATTCTTCAAAAAAGCACAAACTTCAATGACGAATATCTTTATGAAGGAGCAAGCTAGAAAAACTTTCCGGTAGATTTTCAGAATGCTTGAACAATTATCTAAGGTAAAAATTTCCTCAGATTTTGAATACAATTACTTTTTAATGGTGTAAAATCATTTTTAAAAGTTATTACTTTGTCAAAAATCAAGTTTTAAAAACGGTTAACTTGATGACGTCATCAAGGGGTGTTCATGACGTCAAATAATTTGTTTATACAATGTAAACTAAAGTGTAAACAATTATTTTCAAGACCTGTGGTCGGAAATGGCTGTATCTTTTATACTTTTGAATCTATGGACAATTAAATACAGGCTACAATTGACTGGCAAAGCGTCTATCCCTGAATATCACAGTGCTGGCAAGCACGAGCGGTGTCTTTATTGGGGGTATACTATGTACCCCCTTTACTATTGTACCCCCTTTACTATTATACCCCCTTTACTATTATAACCCCTTTGGTACTCGTCGGAAGCCTCTTTCGTGCACGCGAAGCGTGCACTCCGGCCGGAGGCGGCGGCCGAAGGCCGCCGCCTCCGGCAGGAGTTTTTCAGGCATTAAGACTCATCGGAAGTCGTTCAGCAGATTTATTTTTAGTTCAAAACATTCTAATTTGATGTCAAAGATGACAGGAATAAAAATAGTTATGTTGAGATTTTTAAGAAATTTGCATAAAATAGTAAAAATACTCGCCAGCACTGTTATACGAAATTCGGTAAAAAACCCAAAATCGCCATATTCAGGTGCCTTAAAAACCATGTTAAAATTGAGTTAGAGATCTGAAATTTTTCAGGGCGTCTAGACGTTGACCAAATCGACTGCAAAAAAAGTTTCAGGTTTCAGGAGCATCGGGAAGTGGGTTTTCTAGAACCCCTGTTTTACGATAGATTGTCGTGATACATATATACATATATATATATTCAGGGATAGACGCTTTGCCAGTCAATTGTAGCCTGTATTTAATTGTCCATAGATTCAAAAGTATAAAAGATACAGCCATTTCCGACCACAGGTCTTGCAAATAATTGTTTATACTTTAGTTTACATTGTATAAAAAAATTATATGACGTCATAAACACCCCTTGATGACGTCATCAAGTTAACCGTTTTTAAAACTTGATTTTTGACAAAGTAATAACTTTTAAAATTAATTTTAAACCATTAAGGAGTAATTTTATTCAAAATCTGAGGAAATTTTCATCTTAGATAATTGTTCAAGCATTCTGAAAATCTACCGAAAAGTTTTTCTAGCTTGCTCCTTCATAAAGATATTCGTCATTGAAGTTTGTGCTTTTTTGAAGAATTATTTTATAAAAACGTCAATTTTGCGATTTAGTATTCTCTGGTGTTGGGCCATGCCTTGGGTTGTGGAGCTCAGTTCTGCTTCCTATAGGTATAAATTGTGTCATAGGCTAGTTTTAAAGTTGAAAATCGAAAAGTTGCACACGTTGGGACACGCCCAAATTGATAGAAAATCGCTAAAATCACTGAAAATTGCTGTTTTCGTCATTTTCTGTCAACTTTAGAGTGCCGTTGTGATTACAGTTCTTCTTAAAATACTTTGAAACTTTGCATGCTTATCAAGCTATATATAAAACAATTACATGCAAAAATTTACGGCGATTCAATATTGGATGCGCACGCAACGTCTGCTCAAAGTTTGCACGTGCGAAAGGTGAGAATTTTGCTCATTCGTGATTTCCAACAAATTCTGCTTTGCCACGACAGTTTAATGTCATTATATATGAATTTAATGCCAACTTGAATGAGTATTAAGTGGCATATTCAGTCAGTGATCGACCGATATGCTTCCCTAAACACAAGGAAATGTTTTTAAAGGATAGATTTCGAAATCGTTGAAACTTCCTCCTTATTAATGAAGATATCAGTTTATATTTCGACTTTATAAAGTACCCTGACATTATAATCAAAAAGAGATGATATTTTACCAAAACCCATAATCATGGGTAGAGTGGACCGCTGTCAGTGTCTCTCTTTCCCAAACAAAAGGAAATGATATTACTTTGATTGACCGTTCTCAAATGCAAAATGATACCGAGAATGAAATCGGTCGCTCGCTTTTCCCATTCATTTACAATTGTAATAGATTAAGAAAAACTACCCAAAGGCAGCTGTACTCGGCAATGAAGATTCAATAAACTTCAGCTAATTCAATAAGTAATACTAATAACTACCACCCTTACCCCGAAATACTAGGTATCGACCCGAACGCAACCCAAAGAGATTTTTACAGCATCTGATTGATGTAATCAATCGAAACTTATTACAATTCGTAAGCCGTGAATGAATGGGAAAAGCGAGCGACCGATTTCATTCTCGGTATCATTTTGCATTTGAGAACGGTCAATCAAAGTAATATCATTTCCTTTTGTTTGGGAAAGAGAGACACTGACAGCGGTCCACTCTACCCATGATTATGGGTTTTGGTAAAATATATATATATATATGTTCGAATTATATATGTATATATATAGATATCACGACAATCTGTCGTAAAACAGGGGTTCTAGAAAACCCACTTCCCGATGTTCCTGAAACCTGAAACTTTTTTTGCAGTCGATTTGGTCAACGTCTAGACGCCTTGAAAAATTTCAGATCTCTAACTCGATTTTAACATGGTTTTTAAGGCACCTGAATATGGCGATTTTGGGTTTTTTACCGAATTTCGTATAACAGTGCTGGCGAGTATTTTATGCAAATTTCTTAAAAATCTCAACATAACTATTTTTTATTCCTGTCATCTTTGACATCAAATTAGAATGTTTTGAACTAAAAATAAATCTGCTGAACGACTTCCGATGAGTCTTAATGCCTGAAAAACTCCTGCCGGAGGCTGCGGCCTTCGGCCGCCGCCTCCTGCCGGAGGCCGGAGTGCACGCTTCGCGTGCACGAAAGAGGCTTGTAACGTGTACCAAAGGGGGTATAATAGTAAAACTAAAGGGGGTATAATAGTAAAGGGGGTACATAGTATACCCACAATAAATGCACCGGTCGTGCTTGCCAGCACTGTGATCATTGTAAACCACGCTAATTATTTACAGGAAGTCAGGAAGACGCAGAAGAAACAGAAGAGGACAAGGATACAGAGACTGAAGACCAGGGACCAGGAGAAGAGACACCCGATGAGAACGAGGAGGAGCTCCAACTCAACAAGAAACTTGAGGTAAGGAATTTGGCGTATCGTGATAATATCTGTTACACAAAGCACTTTCTTGAGATTAAACTTTAAATTTTAATTGTGGATTATTTAACTGGGTATGAAAAATATCTTAACGTGTATAAACGACTCACAAGCTTTTGTAAATGTCAGGTTTACGGGTTATCAAACCGAGCGGTACCTGCGCCTATTCACAACAATTACCACTGCAGACAGTAAAGTGCGAGGAAGATGACGAGTTTATCGCAGAACTGGAGCGTATTATGACGTCAGAACTGACCGGTAGAAAGATAGACAGTACAGTTAACAAAGTAAACAGCAGTGACCTTGCCCTGCCTTTGAACAGGGGCTTCAAAGGTTTGTCACAGTGACCATTCAAGATGTGCACAATTATATCAGCACTTCACTTAAACTTTAAACTTTAAAGTTTAACATCTTTCTTCTACTCCCATGATCATGATTTGTCTGTGACGTGTTGGCCAACTCGATTTTTGTC